GATAAGTGGACATCAGTTTTCCTATGAAATGCTAAATGTCCACTTTTGGCTTTTGAGTTAATTTGTGAAAGCTTTGATGTGTCATTTATTATGCTTTATATAGTGTATCCCCTCATGGATTGCAGCCTTGTCATGGTGAAGGGGCTTGTGTAACTCAGTGAAGCTATAGTGTATAGATTGCTCTTGAATTTCATTTGATTCTTATCATGTTCTGAGTTAGGCAGTGTAGGGATTCTTCTCTGAGGTATAGAATTGTCCAAGGTTTTACTCATTTTTAAAACCTTGATAGATCAGGACTATAAATTCCATATACATGACATTTAGGAATAAAATTTATTGATGACATTTTGTGCTCTGCTTTGAAATACTACCTTTTTTCTCACCCCTTTTAAAAAAATTGTTTATTTTTAGGGTATTGAAGTAATAAAACTTTTAAGAGTTAAAACAGAAACATTGCATAATGTGAAATGAAATCACCATAGCTTGCAACCCAGAAAGGTTCTTAAAAGTCCAAGAAACCTGAGCTAAGTACTCTTTAGAAATACATAAAGCCAGGTATACTTACCTGTATATCATCTCTTGGTCATCATCATTACAGCATTTGATTGAGGATTAAGGTAAGGCAGGACTGAGAACCAAGTCAGAGGCAAGTTGAGAAGCAGTTTGGAAGCCAGGTTGATCAGAAGCTGGGGAAGCAGGTCAGTTGAGGGGGTTGCAGGAGCATGCTGTGTGCCCTCTGGTGAGACAGCCCAGGTCAGCATTGGCTGGCAAGAACCGCTTGGCTAGGGTGTAAAGTGTGGACTCAGATGAAATCACCAGATGACTGTAAGACATGAAGTGTATTATTATTAGCCATAAAACTAATATACTGTACTACTAGGGATGATAGGGCAGTTCAGTAAATGGAGTAAACCTTTAAGTAAACTGGAGCCCAGAAGTTGGCCCAGAAAATGCTGACAGTCCTGTTTAATTGCAATATATTAAGTGAAGAAGAACTAAAGAGCCTCTTGATGAAGATGAAAAAGGAGAGTGAAAAAGTTGGCTTAAAGCTCAACATTCAGAAAACTAAGATCANAACTGAAGTCAGTGTGTTGGCATTAGTCTCCTGTCAGATGATTTCTTGGTCACTACCCTCTCTCTGATATTTTGACAGGGAAAAATCATTTATTGACAGTTTGACAGCATAATTTTAACACTTTTAGGCTTCGGTAATGCATTTTGTTCTAAGTTGCCTTTATTTTCATATTTTTAACATCTGCAATTGAGATGGATCTCATGATTTATAGAATGTTAGGTTGGAGGAAAAGTAATGTTCAGTGACCTGGTATTTTACAGGTTTCCTCCTGGGAGTGTTTATATTAAGACCTGAACTTAATTTTTTTTAGTCATCCTTTTTCCACATAAGTCTATCATGCTGTCAAGTAAGTTGGAATTTAAATTGGTAATATAAAAGTGATGGGTCTTAAAATATAACTTTAATGATAACCCCTAATCATCAGCTCAAGAATATTTCTCCTGGGTTAAAACATTCTTTATTAAAGATTGCTAAAGAAATAATTTTAGGAAGAATTCACATATAAAATGCACAGTAATTTCTCAAAATACCTTAAACATTACTGTGTGTGCTTGTTGTGGGAGAGGGGCTGAGGGGAAGGGTGGGTGGTAATGCTTTGCTTCAGAGTTGACAGTCTTACCTTTGTGACAGTGAAGAGTACAGTATATTTTTTTCATCGTCTCCTTAGACTCTTGGCAAAACAGTTAATGGAGCATGTAGAAATATTGTGTGTATGTATGAGTTTACTGTCTAATGGCTTACCTGTCAAGTCTATTATAAAATAGTGATGTAGTTTTCACTGGCAAAAAGTGCAAGTTGTATAGAAAATTGTTATATAGGCTGTAAACAGAAGATTAATATTTTCTGAAAACCTCATGCAAATTGACAGCAGTAAGGCCCTGGTATGTTTAGTATGTATGAATGATAGGCAGCTCACCAAAGTGGAAATGATGCTGATAATTATGGGAAAGTAGTAAAAATTGTGTAATCGAGAGAAATACAGATTAGATAATACAGTGCTGTTCCTTATTTCTATTAGTAGGACTTCCTCCTGCCCCTCAACTATACAGAGAAGGGGCAGGAACTAAAACTGTCATGATTGGTAGTATTATACATTAATGTGGCCCCACCTTCTTCAGGAAGCAGTTTAGCACTGTACCTTGAGCCATGAAAATGATCTAACCTTTTGGCTTAGACATCCCACTTTTGAAGATCTTTGCTAAGGAGATAAAACCATTATTTATTTAAAAAGCTGTGTAACAATAGATGAAAAGTTTCCTCATCAAAGAATAGAACGTTGTAAGTACCTAAACCCCAACAATAGGGGATTGGCCAAGTACAGCACAGGAATAACGCTTGATGGGCTGTTGTGTATTCATTAAACTAAATATGCAACAGTCAGATGTAGAAGGGTTGTTAGTAACAAGAAGACATAACTTATACACTAATTAGAGCTTTTTCTAATGTATAAGGAAAACAACTAAAAGTAAGGGTTGTAAATCTGTGGGTTAATTTTTAAATAGGGTCATTTTGGCTCATGCAAATTTTTGTTCATGACATTTGTTAAAGGAATGAGCAAGTGACTTTTACCTTTCCCCACCTTCATTGTGATCATCAGTACTGCTGGTTAACCAGGTCTCTTTCAGTTACAAGTTTGAGAAAATGTCTCAGAATAGCTTAAATTAATATATATATATATATTGACTTTTATATAACTGGACTTGAATGAGTAAATTAAGCAGTACTTCACCCAGGAGTTTAATGACCTCACAGCCTGTCTCAGTTCTGCTCTCCTCTATTGATCTCTCCTGAAAAGCCTTTCCCCTCATGATGGCAAGAGGAGTGTCCAGCAGCTCCAGACTAGCTAACGATCCTAGGGGACAACTCTGCCTTTTTCTGCTTCTTGGGAAGTTCCAGGAAAGCTGTGATCTATCAGCCAGTTCTGGGTCATGTGCCCACCCTTGAAACCTCTAGGGTAGGGTAGAGGGAGTGCCAGCTCTTTTCTGATCACTTGGGCAAGTTTGCTTTTTTCCTGCATGTTGTCATTTCCTTTATCCTAGTCTTCTTGCTTTCTGTATATAGATCTGTAGTAGCACATCACAGCATACCTGTAGCACATCCTGGTTTGGCTCGGGGGTGGGGGGGGGTGGTGGTGTGTGTGTATGTGTTAAAGCTTGCTTCTCTTTGATCCTGACACTTATTTTTCCTGGACTTCCATTGACTCTTGTTAAATTTTACCATTCCATAAACCCTGATGAAAAATATGGCTACTTTGCAAGCATTTCTGCTTATTTTTTAGATTCCAGTGTAGTCTGTTCACTTTCTGGTACAGGTAAGTAGTCATGAATCCTTTCAGAAGCCTTAAGTCGAAAGTCTCTGCCTGTCAACTTTGTGTATAACTGAAATAACTTATTTTCCCAGTGTCCCACTTTTCAAATATGTAGGGGGGAAAAAACTTTAAAATAATTTTATGGGTCTTTTACATAAAACTGTTGAGTAGAATATTTTCTCCAAAAACAGCTTAATAAACTCCAAATGCAGTGAAGGAATTTTCACGAAGAACAAAGCAGTCGGTTTAGCTATGTAAATTTATAGTGCTGGCAGTAACATTAAAATTCCCATTAAACCAGGAAGTCCCAAATTACTATTCATGCAAAATTCTTTCTTTGGGGAAGAAAAGGATTCTAGGTAGATAACATTTGTGAAATGCTGGGTTAGACAGAATTCACTATGGGGCTGGTTAGTTTTTACTTATTTATTTTTTCATTTATTTTTATTAGTTGGAGGCTAATTACTTTACAATATTGTAGTAGTTTTTGCCATACGGGATGGGGAACACATGGTTAGTTTTTAATATATCAATGTATATATTCTTTTGATTCTCAGGGATAATGTGTAAATCACGTTGACCACCAAAGTCCCCTTTAAAAATAGGCCAATTATTGTGTGGTTTGGGAAATACTGCCTTAACTGTTGCTCTTTAAAAATCTTGGTCCAGTTTCTTAAAAGATTGTTTAATTGGTTTGAGGTGGACTTCACTGAGTAACTGCCCATAGGGCTTTTATGTTTGTTTTAAACAACAACCTTACTGTCCAGCGTGGCAGCTTGTGCTTGCTTGATATTTCTGCCTAAATAGAAGACTGTCCCACCTTGGTGCAAGGTGAACTGTCAGCAGACCCACCTTTTTTATGTAGGTATGGGCAAAATTTTTTTCAAGCAGCCCTTTGATGTGCTCCAGGAAGTACTCTTACTGAAGCCCTCTATTAATCATGCAGCATGAAAGGAAGAAGTGAGAATTTAGCTTTGGAAATAGAGGGCAAAGTTAAAACTCACTATCCTGGAAGTGTTCCTATGGATCAGAACATTGAACTCTTACGTAATCCTCTTTAATCTGCCATGATGAATAGCCCCTAGATAAACGGCAGCCAACTAAATGAGTTCGTTTGTTGAGTGTAGTTGGAATTAGCCATTAGATTGTCTGAAGAACATTTGCCAAAAGCAGCTCATTTGGTTATAGCATATTTGATTGATTGAGCTGGTATCTGATAGTAATTGACTACAGCATAACTTGCTTCTTGAGACTTCCTCAAATGTGCTAGTAATATCAGCTTAAAGAGAGGTGACTGAATTTTTAATCAGTAAGTAGGAGGGGGATCACATACATGATTCGCCTAAAAGTGGCATACATTAGGTGCAAGTTAAAAAAAAAAAAAGCCTAAGACATAGCCCTGGTTTTATTCCACATGTATGGAGAATTTCTACAATTTTTCTGTTTCCCAATAGAATTTTTATATTGTTGCCTTTATTACAGTTTCCTTCTTGTCATTACTAAACGCTCTTCTTAAGACTATTAAACTTGATTAAAATCAACGTGTAGCTGTTTTAAAAGTCATGTCTTTTTCTACTCAACTAAATTGTCACACCTTTTTCTCTTTTTCCTGTGCAGACTTAGCTTTGGAATCAAACCCTTCTGACCACCCAAGGGCAAGCACAATTTTCCTGAGCAAATCTCAAACGGACGGTAAGACAGTGTTTCTCCCCCCTGAGAAAAAGATTGAAAACTGTTTTTGTTTTGTGTATTATGGGAAGATACAGAAAAATACTTAGAATGGTTTAAATTTTTTTTTTCATATGTGATAATATTTTAATATGTGATGTTTTATTTTAATATGTGATGATACATTTTTCATTTAGGTGTCACTGTTTTAATGAGGAGAAACACTTAGACCATCTGTTTAAAAACTGCTATTTCTTTATCAACAGTCAGCTTGGCACATGATTTAGTTGTGGTCTGTTTTTCTCTGCTACTTTGTCCTTTTCCTTTTGCTCCAAGAGCACATGAGTTAAAGATGAATGATATGGTTTAGGTCACAGTTAGGTTTTCATAATCAGTTGTTATGTATGGGAATCGAGTCTTGTGATTTTGGCACCATGTTGCACAGTGCTCAACCAGGTGAACCTCTCTCACATCCAGATTGATGTGAATTTTTAAGTTCTTTTAAAAGTTCTTATAAGAACTTTTACCTCTTCAAAGTTCTCTCATCCTGATGTAGTGCTGGGCCAGGGTAATCAGACCAGTGTGCCTGCCATATGGGATTTTCCAGAAGGTTATCCTCAGTATGGGAAACCTTGTGTACATTTCTGGTGTCCTGCTTGTTTTAAGATGAGAATCAGAAGTTTTTGCACTCCTGCTTGTCTTGCCTGCTTGTCTTCCTTAATATATGTTAAATCCTAGTTTATTTGCTAAAAAGCCATATATGATGAGGTTTTTCGGTTGTTTATGAGATCAGGAATACCAGAAGTGAACGTTCTATAATATTTGAAGTAATGCAGCACAGTAAAAAATAGAGGGTTCTTTTCCTCTTTTATTTTCATTAGATTACTGGTTTTTATCAAAGGGTCTGTCTCAGGAACAGCCAGATGGAAGAGGGCCAGGCGTGGGGGCAGGGCCCAGAGTGCACCACATGTTCTCCAACCTGGGAGCTCCTGGGGTTTCTAGTTTGCATTTTCTTAAAGTGTGTGTACTTTGTCTTGAGGCAGTTATTTTTAGTTAGGATTACTGTATTTCTCAGTCTTTTCCAGAGTCATGAGCTGCTCACACTGTAGAGGGACGGTGGAGAGAGTAAAAGAAACACTATCCCACGCCCCTGTCTCTCCTCAGTCTAAAGGAATTCGTGCTTGTGATGCCATGGGAAAGTGTGTGGCCTGAGATCCTCTTTGAGCTTATATTCTTCTGGCCTTTGTTGGAGCAAAACAGTTCTATGTACTGTCGATGTATGTTCAGTGAGGTCAGCACACGTGTTAAAATTTATAGATTACTTTCCAGTGTGTAAAGAACCTGTATTTTTTAAGTTGGGTGTTTGAGTAGGTGACCAATAAGTGGTTCAGGATGCTTCCAGAGACA